AATGTCCGCTAAACCCATTACATATTTAACTAAAATGTATTACGGTCTGCTTTAACTGACGTTTGATGGTAAAAGATGTAAACAGTGATCATAAAGTAGAATTTCAAATTTCGTGTTGTTGAACGTTTTCCCCATCTTTAAGGTGAATATCTCACTTTTTACGCGCATACCTTATTCGTCAAGAAATCTTTGATATCAGTGACACCACACGGATGGGAATTGCTAGCTAACAACTTTTGTAGTTAAGTTCGCTTGTGAGAGTCTATATTTTTTTAATTTACACACCTGTAAAGAAGTAATAAGCAAGATTTGAACAAGTCAACAATATATTCCTAAGCTTTATACCACATAGGTTGCAAAAACTGTCACTATTCTGAAACGAGGCAAAGCTAAGGGACCTGATAGAATGACTCCAGAGGTAGTTAAGTATGGTGGAGACAGTTTAAGGTTCTAGGCAGTGTCTGGGAATCAGAGGAATTCACGTTAGGTAGGTGTGTAAGTCGTTGATTATCCCCATATTCAAGAAAGGGGACAAGTTTTCCTGTGATAATCACAGGGAGATCACCTTAACCAATATGGTCTCTCAAGTTGTAGGCTCAATAATCATGCTTAGAATAAGTAGTGCTCGGGAGAAGCAAACGTGGGAGAAACAGGCGAGCTTTAGACCAGAAGGACTGTGTATTGATCAGATCTTCAACTCTCAACTGATTTTGAAACAGGCATATTTATCGGGGTCCAACAATCGTCATATTTCTTGACCTGAAAGTGGCGTTCGATTCCGTTGACTGAGAGGTACTACGGAAATGTTTGGCTATGAAGGGAATGCCAAAAATATACATCGCACTCTACTTGTCCTCTTGCAGCCAGATGAGAGCATATGGAGAGTTTTAATCTGAAGTGGTGACAACCAGTGGTGTCCATCAGGAGTGCCCACTGTCCCCGATTCTGTTTAATTTCATCACAGACGTACCCTAACTGACTTCAACGACTCAGGGATTGACTTGTTACCAGGATATAGTCTTGTTGAATAAGAATCTCCATGCGGATGTTATAGTCCTTCTGGGAGAAGACGCTGACGAAATACAGTCTTCAAAATACCTAGGGCAGCAATTTTCGGATGTTTGGCATGTGACTCGCTCTAGTCAAATGAAAGATAAGGCTTCAGGACTGGACCATATACACTCCTAGTTGGCTAAAATACAGGAAGTGAAGTGTTAGGTAGTGTCGACCACTTCGCTTATTTGGGCAGTTGACTCATTCAGTGGCGGCCGGTTGATCCCTCACGAAATCTCACGACGGATACAGCAGGCTTGTCTCGCATATGCAATCCTACGCCACCTCTGGATTAGTGAACGTGATATCCGCCCATCGACCAAAGGGAGTGTGTACTGCTCAGCATCAGTCCGCCCCGTCCTCCCTTATGGCTGTGAGTGAGACATGGCCATTCAAAGTGGAAGACATGAAAAGACTGTCCAGCTGTCTTTCATCATAGATACCTGCCTGCCTGCATTCTATCTCCATGTCAAGTGGTATATTAGGGCGAGCAATACTGAGGTTATGCATCGGTCGAGTGCTAGGCTAAGTAAGGAAGGGATATCAATTAACGATTCTGTGAATTTACATTGACTGAGATGTTTAGGACATGTGTTACGCATGCATCCATAGCCACAACGCCTTCCTCGACCAGCGGGCAATGTCAGCTTACATAGGATCGGGTTGGAAAAGATGTAGTGGTGGTCAACACGAAACAGTTAGTTTAAGCTACGTAGGCAGGTGTATACTTTTTGGCTGTTTGGGGTCCTCGGGATGGTAAAAACCAATGAAGGCTGAAGTCAGTGGTGATATGGTTCAAAATCATTCGAAATGGTCGGCTTAGATGCAGTCACTCTTCCTGATTTATCACATCCAGTAAAACTGTTGTTTTTCAATATTACTATTATTTTTGCCTCATATCTCTGTTTTGCATTTCTTTTACTTTCTTCTCTTGCTTTGTGTGCTACTTGGAATGTGGCGACTGGAACTGCTGCACACCGGTGCAAAGTTCTATGTTGAAACCAGTCATTCAGTCAGTCAGTTTATATCACATATATTTCCTATGAAACTGATGTATAACCTGTCATCTTCATAAAAAGCTGAAATGCCTTCAGCTGAAATTAGGGTGAATTAACTTGGTGACAGTACAGATTATCTGAAAGGCACCTAACTGATTTACTAAGCAATTATAAGGGCATACTTGTGTGATTACACACCGACCAACGAAATGTATTCTGTCGCATATACATTCTTTTTTTTGTTGTTGTAAAGATAAGCAACATCTGTAGATAAAATTTCAGTCTTGTAAATTAAAGGATACAAACAATGCGCTACTGTACGGAAAATCCATCGTTTTACTGGTATACTGAATAAAATGTGACCTTATTCTAAGACTATTTATTGATTATCACTAACAATTGAAGAATGCGTGAATTTTTCTGATGGTTACTTTTTCTGCTGTTTCAATATAAGCTCACCAGCCAATCTGATATATATATATAAACATTTAAACGACATTACATTATACCGACTTAAACTATCAACTGGAATAACAGAAGCAAATTATTAAACTGACTGACTGACTGACTGGTTTCAACATAGAATTTTGCACCGATGTGCAGCAGTTCCAGTCGTCACACTCCCTAAGTAGCACACAAAGCAACAGACGAAAGTAAAAAGAAGTGCAAAACAGAGACAGTAAACAGAGATATGAGGCAAAAAGAATAGTAATAACGAAGAACCATACAGTTTCATTCGATATTATAAATCACAAGGAGTGGATGCATCTGAGCCAGCCATTGAGAACGATTTTGAGCTAAATCACCAGTCGTCTCCAGCCTTCAGTGGTTTTTAACATCCCGAGGACCCCAAACAGACAGAAAGTCTACATCTTCCTACGTGACCAGCTTAAACTAACTTTTTTGGATTAACCACCATTAGCTCTTCTCCAAACTAATCAATCCTGTGTCAGCTGACATTGCCCGTCGGTCGAGGAAGGCGATGTATAGCAATGCATGCGTAACACATGTCCTAACCATCTCAATCAATGTAACTTCACAGACTTGCCGATTGATATCCCCTCCTTGCTGGGGCTAGCAGTCGATCGAATCCTAACCTCAGTATTGCTCACCTTATTATACCACTTGACATGAGAGATAGTATGCAGTCAGGCAGCTATGATTAAAGACAGTTAGACAGCCTTTTCATTTCTTCCACTTTCAATGGCCATGTCTCACTCACAGCCATAAAGGAGGACGGAGTGAACTGCTGCTGAGCAGTACACACGCCCTTTGGTCGATAGTCGGATATCACGTGTATTAATCCAGAGGTGGCGAGATGAGCCTTCTGTATCCGTGGTGAGATTTCTTGAGGGATCAACCCGTTGGCATTGGCTATGCATCTTCCAAAATTAGTAAACAGGCAATATTTACAATTTAACCGTAACCATTGATCCTGTAACATAGATCGTAGATAACTTAATGAAGAGGTTTTTTGAACCTGGAATATAGTAGGACCGATGCCTATATTTAAGGAATATTGGATTTCCCTGGAGTTAAGAGTGCATTTCATCCACAAATACTAAAAAGCAGTAATACTGGGTTTATCTCTCTCCTAGTAAGTAGACAATAAGACTTGGGCATATGATTTAATATCACAAGAGCATATTGACAGTTTGGTACTCTTGATAGGACAACCAGAAATCTTTCAAAATTGCTAAAATGTGGAACTGCTTATCATTTCCCAGAGCCTTTAAAACTTCACTAACTGTCGCTGAGTTATTCTGTTCCTATTCCATACGCCCTTAAGCGAAGTGTGATGACTCGTAGTGATTCATCTCTTTGCAAAGTTATGCGCTGCTTAGCTGTGCTCCTACTTCTCAGATAATGTGTTTTCGTTGTTTCGTGCAATATGACTCTTATATACTATTTTGTTTATTTCGTTTGTAATGAAATCAGATACGAAATATTAATCGGTTGTAAACTACCAAACTAGTGACAGATGCTCAAACGTTGTAGATATTTTACACATACATATGTATTTATGTTGCCATCTTCCTTCCATATTGAAACGGTAGAAGACGAAGGACTTGGTAAAGTTATTTTAATTTTGAAATTGGTATCTCTATATAGCCATAGTATGTGCACCTTATCTAAAAATCATCACTTGCACAGATCTTCGTGTTGTGGTATTCTGGACTTCATGTTGTGTTTCTTTGTGTTACTTTCATGTCTCCTATGTATCTTTACAACGCTGTATCATTTGCCTCCTCTGAAATCAAATGTATCTCCCTGCTATTTGATGTTTTCATGCCGAAGAACGTTTCCTCATATACTATTGATAAATCTTATCAGTAGCACTCGTCACAATGGGGGTTAGAAACTCGCCGAACGCATCACGAAAAGCATTTCCAACAGGCCGGTGCAAACTTTTATTGTCAACTACCTTCGCCGGCTGCATACTGAAGATCATATGGTAGGCCATAAAGGGTAAGCTTACAAAAAGGAATTCTGGGAACGAACCAATCAGAATAAAATCCCGAAGGAAACGAAGATTGATAGGTAAGACTCTCAGGAGACTGTTGGGTGACATCGTGTGTCAGGTCCCCGGACAGAGTCTGAAGGCGAAGCGACGAATTACGCGTGTATCCAAGAGTGACTTGGAGGAGATCGTGCAAGGAGGAGACGAGATCAGTTAGGCAATCGCAGATCCGGTTAAAGGGGACTGCAAAGGACAGGAAAACATAGAGGTGTACTGATGAAGCCGTATTTCCCACTCGGGGCCCAAAGGACTGACTATATATATATATTGTAATCTTCAAATAAATATCACAGCTTTTATTCATGAAGTGTGCGTTCACTTCCAAAATTGTGGGGAAAAAATGAATACAATTCAAAGGCATCTTGTTAATTTTATTATCTAATTTCAAAAGAATATAAATGAATGTAAATTATTTCTTATAAGCATACCTTAACACCTGCTCGAAATGCATTACGACCCATGAAAGACTCCATCATTCTGAGAACAGATGCTCCCTGAAAAATCAGCACAGTGGAAGAAGATATTTTAGAAAACATTCATAAACAAATGAGATACAATACGACGACTATAAAAAAAGAAACATCCTGACGATGGTGGTCATCTCGTCTCATCTTTCAGTGGAATCAGAGTAGTAGTTTAAAGCAAATTTAACCTCTCTATATTCCATTCTTTTAGTTTTTGCTGCAGGGATGAGATATTTTTCATTTGTATTCTTTTCACCACTAGATTTCTATAAATTCCATGAAATACACTTGTTGATGCCCAAGAAAAGGATAAACACAAAAGCGTTAGTGTGTGTGTGACGAGTGGATGGCTTTCACACTAAGTGTGGAATTCCATTTCATTTATATTGTCGCCAGTTATATGAATGTACACCTGCATACCGTCCCCGTTGAGACTACACCTGAGTAATCGTTGCGTGAAACAAAAAGATTATTGCTTACCATATCGTATAATTGATTAATCTACAGCAATATTTGCTAATGAACATGTCGATATCATTAAAATAATTATACTAAATGTTTTTTTCCCATTTGGAAATTTTATTTTCTCATAGTCAGTTTGAAGGGACTGAATTTATTTCACGTTTTAACCATGGATTGATGTCATTTGGAAAAGCATTGAAAACCGACAGGGAGTGCTGAACATCTGTTTCGTGCTGGTTTGGGACTCATCGGAAGTACGCATCCACCCACCCACTCGGCTTCGAACCCAGGACTTTCGGGTCAAAAGTCAAGCTTGTAGGCTATTGAGCAGCTGCGACCTAATCCAATGGCACATGAATTCCAACTTCCATCAATTCGCGTGGCTCACAGGCCAATTTCGTGGGCGATTATTTCTCAGAATTGTTGCCATCAAATGGTTAGAGGCATGTCCAAGGCATGAAGCCTTGGACATAGATTTCTTGCTTATTGGTACTCACCAGTCATCAAGACGCATCTAAAACCTTGAAGGAAGTCATTAAACCTCTGAGAATCGAAGCTGTATCAGAGACTTTACTAGTGAATTATCTGAACTAGCGATTATTCTCCTGTCAGACTGTATTAGATACTTTGATTGGACACTAGTAACTAGCGTCGTCCGTCTGGTTCGACTGTCAATAACCACAGTCCACAGTGCACCACTATGGTGAGTAACCTAGCACGGTGGCCACATTGCACATCTGACTGAAAGAATTCAGTCTTCACCAAGTAAAGAACTAGATGCATGATAGTGTCCAAAAAGAAGCAGCGAGTATTTCTCCTCACGCCCGACTATAGTGGTCACGGCTTTACACAAGAATTTGTTGGCAGTGACTTTTTGACATTTCTATTGGTTTTTTAAACAATAATTAATTGTAAGTAGTATAGTCATCATGACGACTTTCAACGCGCAGAAACTTATAAACATATATATATATATATAAACAGTAAATTAGTATAACACTGACGAATACTTTAAAAAATAAGACAGTCAATTCACACTTACTTTATTGTATGATATTGGATCAAAAATTTCATTAATTTCATCGGGAAGACAAACAGGTTGAATAACTGGACGTGAGGTGGCTAGTGAATCACTCACCAACACTTTTTGTATATCATCAAGAAGAAATTGTTCATCCTAATTACAGAAGACAAAGAAAAAAACAAGCAATCGCTGGTATTTTTATTTATTTATTTTTTTAATGAGTAGATTCGAAGATAACATCTTTTCAAGTGTACTCACGCCTAAAATATGGTTAAGATACTGTTGATGTTACTTTTTTTTAGTGCTTAGACGAGATCTGCACAGTTCATTCTTGCAGAAACTGAACAATCTATCTCCCAGAATCCAGTTTACTTCGGAAGTAGGCAGAATCAGTTGTTGGTGAACTACCACTTCTAGACTGCCTGTCTAGTTAAGAAGAGCAAAATGGACATTTTAGTATATATATATATATATATTCAGGAAGTGAAACCACTCTGACAAATATTTATACTTCGGATCATCACACCCCATCAGAGCAAAGGTATCAGTTGTTTCAAGTCTTCTTAAACCTGCAGACCCTTTGATAACGGTTGAGAAAGAAAAAGAAGAAAAAATAGTAATAGTAATAGTCAATGCGATAACTGGCGTGGTATCATTCTTCTGTCTGTCACGAGCAAAATACTAAGCCCCTTCATCCTGAAGAGGATCAAACACACCCTGCATGAAAATCTTCGACTGGAACAGGCTGGATTCAGGAGAAACAAGCCATACATCGATCGAATTGCTACACTACGTATCATCATTCAAAAGAGCTGGGAATGGAAGTCACCTCTCTACCTCAACTTCATCGACTTTGAAAAGGCCTTCAGCAGACAGCGTCGATTGAGATGTGATTTGGAAACTGCTTCTCTACTACGGGCTGCCACCAACAATTATACATCTCATCCAACAGTTGCACGACAATGCTGCATGTCAAGTAATCCACAAAGGGAAAATCACGGAATCCTTCGAAGTGAGGACAGGAGTAAGACAAGGCTGCCTACTACCGCCAATGATTTTCCTGATTGCGGTAGACAGGACAATGTGACAGATAGTGGACAACGAGGGGACAGACATAAATTATACCTACACAAAACACTTGGAGGATCTGGACTTCGCCGATCACATATGTCTGATTTCACACAAACTGGAAGATATACAAGTGAAAAGCAACAAGTTGGCAGAAGAAGCATCCAGAGGAAGATAGTCCTTCCTTCAGGTGAACATAGAGAAAACAGAGGTGTTGAAGATTCCTGGCCAATAGAAACAGCCACAGCAACAACAACAGACAACAATCAGCCAGCATAAATGGGAGAAATCTTACAGAAGCAACTTCCTTTACCTACCTGCCTATCTGGGAAGCACCGTTTGAACTACACGCAGACGAAACTGATGAGGATATCAAGGCAACGAGTATCGGGAAAGCGAGATAAGCTTTCATTACTCTCAAGTCTGTAGGGGATCAACAGTACTCCTCAGCATGAAATATAAGATCCAGACTTTCAGCTTCAATGTGAAGCCAGTGCTACTTAGCATATGGATCAGAGACTTGGCACCACGCCGCGTCACGAAGGGCACTTCAAACAAACTACAAACCTTCATCAGCGTCTGTCTTCGCTCAGTACTGCTCAAGATTAGATGGCTGCCAGAAGCGATCAGCAGTAGAGAGGGGTCTCTGGCAATGAGCGAACCAACCCAACAGGAACCAATTTTGCAAAAAATATGTGTGAAGAAATGGAGGTGAACTGGCCATACTCTGAGGAAACAATGCATCAAATGACATCACACGACAGGCAATCGCTGTAGTGTAACCCAAACGGGAAGCGGCGAGCTGGTTGTCAGTGCGAGGGTGACATGAGGGAGGAAGTCATGTGAAGAGGAGATGAAAGCGTGTGGGTAGACGTGAAGTCAGGTGAAAACGTTGGTGGAGAAACGAACGCAATGGAGACGTGTGACTGAAGCCCTACGTTCCTCTAGGAACTGAAGGAAACAATAATAATATTAAACTCAGGAATGTGAATTGGTCTACAGATGCTGGCACACTTATTCAATGAGGTACACAGGTGTATTAGTACCGAATTTGAATAGACCATCCAACCTACTTAATTGTCTTTGTATTTAAATGTTCTACAACCTGAAAATCAAATGAAGAAATCACAGCCAATCCTGAAATTTAGTTCTCTACTGAAGTTGGATAATAATAATAATAAATAGTGTGACATACCATTCCCCATTCTGGATGAACATGATCCACTCCAATATATTCAGCAAAACTGGCGAAACCTTCATTAAGCCATAGATCATCCCACCATTTTAAAGTTACTAAATTTCCAAACCACTGAAAGAGTATTTATAAAAGAAGAAAGAAAGAATGAATTGTATTGAATTGTATTGTATTCGTTAGAAACTTTATCAAAATGATTCAATACTCTAAATTTATAATTCTGAGTAACCTTCATTTTGTGTATATTAACCTTCATTCACTTTGAAATTCACTAAAATGTTTTTTTCTTTGAATTCATGAACTTCTTCAATAAAAGAGTGAATTGACTAATTTCATTTAAAATGAAGATTTAATTTAGTTCTTAATGATTATAGGTAATAAAAAGACAGTTGCAGAGAATAAAATTTTCTTTTCAACGAAATCATCAACTAGGCTGTACATTCGTGTATTTATAATAAATGGGTAGGAAAGTTCCAGAATAATTTCTAGTCAAGGGTCAAATTAATAAAATTACAATTAGGAATTAAAATGCCATAATAAACAGGGGTACGGACGGATAAAGCTCAAACAAAGTAGCATCATAATTACTGAGAAGATTGACATATTGTGCAATTGGGGGATAGAAATGTAGAAATAACAAAAATACACAGGATGTTTGGATAAAAAATCTAGTGGGATCATAATTAATGTGACGAATAATTGTTTATGCGATCAGGGAATAAATATGGAGAAATAATAAAATGACAAAATAGACAGGAAGTTCGAATATGAAAATATGGTAGTGCAAATAGGGATTAAGAAAAACTTAAAAATAACATGAATAAACGGGAAGCTTGGTTAAGAAAGGCGATGGCATAGTCACTATTTGAAGAATTACCTTTTTTATGATGGTCATGGGAGGGACAAGGGTTGGACGTGTTTCTTTTGGATGGCTAGTGCCTCGGCTATGCCCAGATGTTATAATTTTACTCACTTTGATAGGTTTGATCGAATCTTGTACATTATTTTGAAGGATTTTTCAAATGGCGCTGAGTGTCCTGAATTGAGCAGGTGTTCTGTCACTGAACTATATACCCATTTTCGTTGTCCTTTTACTAACCAGGCTGGAGAGTGCTCACGAGCGCGTTTTTCAAGTTGGAGCATGGTACATCCGATGTACCCAGCTGCGCAGGAGCAAGTTAACTGGCATATGGACGTTGAAGTGGCCCAATGTGACAGCTTGTCTTTCGCGTTTTGGCTGAACAGTTTCTTGCAGGAAAACGTTAGTCGTAGGCTCGCGGCGAAGTATGTTTAACCTCAGAGATTTGGAGAGGCGTTTACGAAGGCTTTCTTGGGACTGCAGATTCTACGGATTCTAGTTACAAGATATATTATCAGATCCCCCTTGCGACTGATGGGTACCTAAAAGTAAAAGTTTGTCAGCTGGTAGTTTCACGTAGGCTTTCGCTATATTGATAATTTCATTCCACATTACTTGTTTTGTAATAGAAATCTATCTGCTTTGTGTGTATAGCTGCCTAATGACACTCCACAGGTAATTTGCAGTCTTTGATGGCATCGTCGTTGGTTAGAATCAAATATATATCTAATAGTGCGTAACCGTCTTTTTGCTGTCTTTGGAGTGTTTTAGTGACTGTGCTTGTATCAAGAAAGTTTTCGACAGCTATACAGTAGGACACAGAATTTCGTCTCCTGAGTTCAGACCACAATTAGTTGTTTTTATTCGTTACACAAGATTTCTTGATTGTTGCTGTTTGAATACAGGTGTTAATTACTGTGTGCAGAGTGGGAAGCATTAGACAGTAGAATTCTGCTTATAATTATAATATTAAAAAAATGTTACACACAAACATATTTCGAGAAGTAGGTTTTATCTTATCCAATGCAGATTTTGCCAATTCTTATTAATTATGAAACAAAACCTAAAAGTAACTACCATAGTGCATAGTTTTGGTTTTAACAAACTCGAACTAAGTTTTCAAGAAAAAAACAAAAACAAAAAGAGAAACCAAATTCTCGATTAATTCTTATTTATAATTACCTGATGGGCAACTTCATGTGAAATTACAGTCGCCACTTTTTGTTGAGTTCCTGCTGTACCATATTCAGGATCCCATAGCATTGTTGCCTCTCGATATATCATTAGACCCCAGTTTTCCATAGCGCCAGCAGCAAAATCAGGAACAGCTACCATGTCTAACATTTAGAATAGAGAAAAGTTTTTATTATTATATAAATATATATATCTCACAACAATAATTAATTGTGCTATAGTGTGTTTAATTTTGCCTTTTTTGTAAAATGCTATTAAAAATATTCTTTGAACAGCACAAAAATTAATTCCACTGGTAATATTTTGACAGGCTGTTGGAAAACTGTCTCCCTTCATAATGAAATGAATGGACAAATAGCGACGAATGGTAGGTAATAAACGCATACATATACTTGCAGAATGGATTTAGACAAATTATATGCATGTTAGAATTGATGTTACTAATTTAGAACTATAATGGACGTAATGATAATAATAATAACTATAATGTCTTGACGAGGAACTTAACAATATTAAACGGTTGCTAAGTGAGAATGGTTATCCTGAAAAGTTTATTGATAAGAATATGAATCTGAAACCAAAGCAGCCCAAGTTACCAACAGTTCCTACAGATGCAGTTCCTACGAGACAACACCAGTGAGATACTAACACAGCCCTTTAGAAATGCGGTAAAATGAGCATTCCCTGCTGCTGAATTACGCTGTGTTCCCAAAACCACTCCTCTTCTGCATTCGGGAATAAAATACAAACTGTGTATATACCAATTTAACTGCTTCTGTGGAGCCAGTTACCTAGGCCGTACAATTAGGCGTCTTTCGCGTCGAATTTCCAAACATCACCCTCTACGGTTAAGCAAAGGACAAACAAAATCTATTCGCAGCGCTATTCTGTCTCACCTTGTGGAGACAGAACACAAGATTGACGTTAATCATGCTTTCAGGGTCATTTACCGCATACCTACGAATCTCAGTTTTGCCTTAACAGTTCGACTACTAAATATTGCTGAGGCTGTGGGGATCCATATTAAAAAGCCTAATTTATGCATCCAAAAGAAGTTAGTTCAGACATTATCACTACCTTGGCCATCCAGGTTTGAGTAATCCGGAATTGTTGTGGAATTTATTTAATTTCAGTTGATATCTTATTCGCTACTGTATCTTTATTATTATTATTATAATTTATGCATCCTTTTTTCCTTCACGTTCCCCAGTGGGATATAGGACTTCAAGCTAGTGGCTTGAAGTTTCTGTAGCAGTGTTTATTTTACAGGATGGGGTTGCTAGCCTCATTCTCAAACCTTTCCCCTTTACCAGCATTATTTCTGGCTTAGTGAGGTAAAGGAGTGCGTTGGCCGGGGATCGAACCCCAGACCATGTGATGGTCGGCGAGCGTCCTAACCGCTATGCCACCGACGCACTTATGCATCTTTAATGAATTATAATTCCATTGATCTTACTTTACAAATCGATATTATTTAAAAGACACTAATATTGTTATTGACTGCTATTCTAGAATATTCTGTGTATATAAACATATATGCATATAATTGTAGAGCCGGAAGAGGAATTTAACGAAAAGAATATTCTTTCCTCGATTATTTTGTTTTACAGATGTTTGAATGAATATTTCTGCTATAATGGATGTGCCGAAAATGCACTAATTCAACATGGGTCCACATTAAACTGAACTATGTAACGAAATTAAGTGAAATATTTCGGCGAAAATTTAGAAAAATAGAGGATAAAATTCGGCCACTGTGGTAGAATATATCCCCATTATGGATAAAAAAATTTTTATTTTGATGAAATCACACACAGTGTTGTTATACAGTAATATTTACTACTGATGACCACGTTTCAAGCACAATTTATTACTGCATATAATCATATCAAGATACTCACCCACACAACTTCCTTGCTTCGTTTATATACATGAGTAAAACTTAATTAGACATATGAATAAAATCTATGTAAGATTTGCGTGGCGCAGAAATGAAGATAAGGTACGTCAATAAAATACAATAGGATGGGGAGTAAGACAAGTGTTGCTGGTCAATCAAATCGGAAATAAGATGTTTTTATAGTAAAATAAATAAATAACTTGTTAGAATGTTATAATGTGAATTGAAATACATTTTTTATTTATTTATTTATTATCCTCCTCTGATTTGACTGGTGGTAATAATATCTTCTATATCTCTGGAATTTGTGTTTAATCACTTCTGTTGCATGTGTTGGGTGTAGGTTATTTGATGAACAAGGATACAGTAGCCAGCCACTTCCTCCGTCTACCTACCTATATTACTTTTTAGAATTTTAACCCTCTCGCATCCTATTGTGTAGTTGTGTGTTAGTGCCTGCAGGGCAATTCCTGAGCTTTTGTCTAGATTCCTTACCTTCGTGGGGTGAATCAATTAAGTAGGAATCTGGGCGGTGTTCCAACTTAAAAACCCACCCGAGGAAAAGCTATGTAGGCTAAAGGACCCTGTAGGTTACCCAAATAGAAAAATAATATTATTAACAAAATACCTTGCAAAGGCTGTGAATTGAGTCAATACATAGGTCAGACTAGTAGATCGGGAGTGGTCAGATTGTCAGAATATAAGAATTTAGCTGTTAGAATGACTGACCCCGCGAATATAAGTAATTTAGAAAAAGGCTTGGCGATTAAACTGCATGCATTAACACACAATCACACAATAGGGTAGGTGGGACAGAGTCAAAATTCTTAAATTTAATATAGGTAGGTGGAGAGAGAGGTTGATTACGGAATCCTGGTCCATCGAAACTACACCCAACACATACAATAGAAGTGTCTCAATGCGAATAGCAGAAATATAGAAAATATTCCTACCAATGAAATCAAGAGATGAGAAATAGTGCAATCATATGAACGAAACTGGAAAGTTGTGTGAGTAAATTGATATGATTACGAGCAATAATACATTGTGCTCGAAAGGTGGTCATCAGTAGTAAATATTACTGTATAACAACACTGTGTGTGATTTCATCAAAATAAAATTTTATCCAGAATGGAATAAAGAATAGACACAAAGGTGGGCGGACGAACGAGTGACCTAGAAACGACCAGTGAATAAAAGCCGTCATTTTCCCATTAAAACACATTAAAAACAATTTTTTACCCTAATGTACCCGAAAAATATTTCCCAAATACAATGAAGGATTATATTATTTAGTTCCCAAAGGAATGTAGGGCTTCAGCCACACGTCTTCATTGCGTTCGGTTCTCCACCAACGTTTTCACCTGACTCCACGTCTGTCCACATGCTTACTTCTCCTCTTCGCATGACGTCCTCCAAGTCACGCTCTCACTGGCGAGCGACTCGCCGCTTCCCACTCGAGTTCTACTAGAGACAGAGAGTTTGGCGTGTGATATCAATTGACGGTTTCCTCAGAGGATACCAGTTTTTAAATTTTCATAATCTATCAGAATGGTTTTTTTCTATATTAAAGATGAACCCCTTCTTTTCTCATTTATTTATTTACAAGAATTAATACAGGTAATAATAAAACACTCTACTGCCTATCTTAATCCTAACCGTAAAGTGATATCAACTCACTGTCCAAACAGTATGTAGAAACGAGATCAAGATGAAATTCACACGTGAATTCTTGCACAGTGTTCATATTGGCGCTGTTAAATTAACAGGTCCTGTAATCCAATGAACGCTGTGCGCTCAAGGCCACTGGTGCGTTTGCACTCTCTGTGATCGCTATTCTTTAGGTTGGTCAATATATCTTAGTCTCGGATCAAAATTTATGTGATGTAATACACTGAATGTAATATAACTTTTAAAAAGATGCACACGATGGATAGCTGAAGTAAGAAGTGAAATAGTTGAATGTGACTGTTTCTCAGAAGAGACTTGCAGAATTCCCTAATTAACCCACCTAATTATTTCTGATAACATTATAAAATGATACGTTTAGTCGATTCATGTAATCTTCTAATTCAGTTATGATTAGACTCGGAGTAATGAATAAGGACTTGACCACCCACCTTAAACTGACATACTGGAATGATAGATAACAGTGCGATATTGTTCAATACTCAAGAGTATAGAGATAAATTCTGGGATAAGTTCTAGATCTCGTTCCATATTGAGATAATATCCGATTCCTTGTTTGAAATGGTGATATGATGTAAGCTATCTGCAGTCCAAAATTGTAGACAACAATTTACGTCAATGTTTACTTCCCGAATCGGGATCGTGAGAAAAAACAAAACCAAAGGCTTAACCTTGGGGAACACACCAGCCAATCAGAGTAGACTTAATGTGAGCAAATACGATTCGCAAATATAAGGCCTAACTTTCTAAGAAACGGTCACAAGCAGAACAAAATAACCTTGGGGAAGAAAGCAACCAATCAGAAGACTTCTCTTCTCCGCTGACAATAATTTACATAAAAATCTATAAATATCTGTTGATTTTCCTCAATAAACGATCCGTTGCCTGGCCCTTGTCTTCTGTCGTTGCAATGTAACTGTCAACATCTTGAAGAGAACCATTTTGAGTGAGAGCATCGCTAGCAGAAATTCCACACAACAATAGTGTGTTTTTTTACGAACAGGTAAATTGGATATGTATGGAATACAACTAGTGAGCACTGGTTATCCAGAGTTTATAATTTCGTTATTTATCTTTGGTGTTAAAATGTAAGCCATTAACGCATTGTTGACACCTCAGTCACATAAGTGAAGAAGTAAGAAATTTTTATTTAAAGATAAATTTCCAAACAGTTTTTTTCTATTTGTGGTAATAATTCGTCAGTTGAGTGTTCTTATGTTGGTAGGTGATAATGTATAACCGTATTATTTCTATCAGTCAAGTTTGCAGTGTAGCTACAGTGATGGGTGGTGTACTCTGAAATGTTGTCACTGGATGGTTGGAGATAATCATCAGGATGCCTTGCCTGATCTAGTTTTCGTGCTTGTCGGTACTCAGCAGCCAGTCAGTAAGGTGTGTCTGCAACGTTGAAGGAAATTTGTGTCCCTTTTGAGATTTGAACCCGTATTGCTCAGTACTGAATTCAAAGAAGCTACCACTGGGCTATTCGCACTAGCGATTGACCTCTTATAGGACTGTATTGAACATACTTTGACTGTACAGTAGTTAGTAGCTAGTACCATGGGTCTGACATGAGTTCCTTCAAGATTGCAGATATACCTTGCTGGCTGACTGGTCAGTGTCAGCAAGCACGAAACCTAGGTCAAGCAAGGCTTCCTGCTGATTGTCTCTAACTCTCAAATAACTTTATAACCCTTACTAAATTTCTGTTACAATTATAACCATTATTCATTACCCTTAGAAAATCTATATTTTCTAGTGTTAAAATATTCAAAAGAACATTAGTATCCTTATCAGAAGAAAAAGTATTACAGATATCAAAGAGATATGAAAAAACTCCACTAAATTTCATCAGATTGCAGTTATACCGTGCCAGTGTCACCAGCGAAAACCTCTCCTCACATTAAGTCTAATTAGTCCTACTGGTTACAACCTTCTCCTGTGGTCACTCTTTAGTAAGTATTAGATCGATTTAAAAGTGCTGGTTTGGACGAGTTGTATTGTTTACATGGTCTATAGACTCGCCGTGTGACGTCAGCGCTTTGGGTTCGATCCCCAGTTCATGCTAAAACAGATGTTGAATACTCGCTTGAGTTTTAGTGGTTTCCTTATTGATGTCAGTTGATCATATAACTTCGAATAACTCTTACCTCTTATCTCCAAATAATGACTTGAAGTGGATCGTAAAGTTCTTAAAACAAACTTAACAGTGAAATGAATATATCTCGCACAAACTGGAAGATATGCAAGCGAAAAGCAACAAGTTGGCAGAAGAAGCATCAAAGATGGGACTTCACGTGAACATAGAGAAAACAGAGGTGATGAAGATTCCTGAGCAACACCATCAACAGCAACAACAACAACAGAAAACCATCAGCATAAATGGGAGGAACCTGAAAGAAACAACCTCCTTTACCTACATGGGAAGCATCGTTTCAACTACAGGCGGATGGAACTGACGAGGATATCAAAGCAAGAATCGGAAAAGCAAGACAAGCTTTCACTACTCTCAAGTCTGTGTGCAGGAGATCAACAGCACTCAGCATCAAAAATAAGATCCGGATTTTCAACTGCAATGTGAAGTCAGTGGTGCTCACTATACGGATCAGAGATTTGCACTGCGCGTCATAAAGAGCACCTCGAAAAAACTACAGACCTTCATTAACAGTTGTCTTCGCTCAATACTCAAGATCAGATGGCCAGCCAGAAAAGACCAGCAACAGAGATCTCTGGCAATGAGCGAACCAACCAGGAACCGATTGTGAAACAAATAGGCAGGAAGAAATGGAGATGGATTGGTCATACTCTGAGAAAACTATCCGTCAAGTGGCATCACTAGACAAGCCATTGCTCGAGTGGAACCCGAAAGGGAAGCAGCGAGTTGGTCGTCAGTGTAAGGGTGACTTGGAGGAGGTAATGTGAACAGGAGATGAAAACGTGTGGGCAGACTTGGAGCCAGGTGAAGACTCTAGCAGAGAACCGAACGCAATGGAGATGCACGGCTGAAGCCCTATGTTCCTCTAAGAATTAAAGGAAATAATAATAATACGATATATTGCATAACGGGAACGAACAAACCAAAAACCTATTGCCGAACAGACGCATCTGAAAGGAAATGAAGACTCTGAAGAGACCATATCGGTGTGATATCGCGCACCAGATAGTCCCTTGAGTTTAGCTCTACTGGTGAACGAGGAGTTGAGTGTCTGAAGTTGACATGGATGAGGTGATGTGAGGAGTAGGAAGATGAGCAGGAGGAGATGACAGCAGTTGTGCAATCGTGGATGCAGCTGAAGAGGCATTCGGAGAACAGGACAAACTGGTGATGTCCCGTCTGTAAACGCAATATTCCACTCACAACCCAATGGAACAATAATGATAATAATAATGCATAATCATTTTTAAAAAGAAGGAACAACTTTGTAACGACATATTTTCCACTCACCTGTCTTTTTAAGTGGATATGACAGTTCAAAGTAATCTTCAAAGAATCGAATAATTTTCTTTCCAATATCTAGTGCATACATAGCTGAATTAATCTTATCTGGTCTCGCCCAAACAGTAAACTGATATTGACAGGATAATGAAAAGGATGGATAACAAGAAAAGTGAATTGATACAAAAATAAAAGCTTAAAAGTTATGATTTATAAACAAAAGAAGTTACTGTCATCATCATCATCATCAGATTATTTACTTGCCTTCTTTGTTATAATAATAAATTCTTCTGTTTTTTGCCAAAGCAAACACACCTGTTAACGACATCTTTTGAAGGTTATTTGTTTGTTTATTTGTTCAATACTTTTCCTCCTGCTGTTTTCAAAAACCTGTTAGTAGAAGTGTAGAGGAAGTGAAGAGCCATCAAGTAGAGGAGTTGCATTAGTAGAAGGAAGGTAAGATAGTAGAGATGGAGATGAAGACAAAGCTGAGTGAGGATTAGAGAGGTTTTGCGTGCACTTCGGATTATGAGGGCGATTGTTACTTCCCGGCTGCCCACACCGTGGAAGTTGGTTGCGTGACCGCAGAGCCCGGGGGACAACTGCTTCAGGCCGGTCACACACGGCCTGTTTTCGTCTGTTGTTTTTCAATTGGTGTGTCTCAGTAGCGTATTTACCATTTCTGACCTGTGACACGGCAGCAGAAAGCGCGGTCGTTGTTAATCCGGGCCCCGACCGATCCGGCATGATATTTTGTGATTTGTTTGAAGTCATAGGATTGGATTGGGTAACTGCTTTTAGTCTAACCACTATCCAAACAACCTTTCTGGCATGGTAGGACCTGCAGGAACATAAGTTCCAGCCAGTATAGCTTGTTGGGTCATTGCGGTGTTCAAGCCCGACCACCACGTCAAGGTAGCAGCTTTCGGTCGGGCCAAGTTAAACTTTAAGCAGCACTAACTAACTACCAATGGAGTGCAACCGCGCACCAAAGACCTTGAAACACCCATTGAGGAAATTAGTGAAACCTGGCAGATAATGCTGTCACCATCAATAAAATATGCTCATCGAAGTGTAATGTTGTTAAATGGGATATCTGGCAAGTTTCACCTTTGGTTTGGGAACGATTAAGTTACAGTTTAAGCCAAGGACAAGTTAGGGTTAAGTTAACCTAATAAAGGCGATATTAGGGATGGTTCGAGTTAGATTACAGTTAGTTTCGAGATATTTTCACTTTAGAGTTAGGTTCAGGAAAAATTAGGGTTATTGTTAGGTTTAGAAGACCTAGATAATTACACATGCATAGATTGTGGTTAAATTACTGTGTTGATATAAGAATGAATAGAACTTGTGCACTGTGGTGGTAGAGTATAATTCCATTGTGGGTAGAATTTATTTTGATAAAGTCTCACAGTGTTATACAGTAAGTAATATTTACTGATGACGTTTCGAGCACAATTTATTGCTCAGTAAATATTACTGTATAACACTATGAAACTTTATCGAAACAAAGTTTACCCAATTTAATATATGTGTAAAATTTGGGCTTTGTGGTAGTAAGTAATTCCATATTAGTTTGTTTATTAGATGTATCACACACAGTGAAACAGTATTATTTACTGGATGACACAGTTTCAAACACAATTTATTGTTCATAATCATATCATCAATTATAATCACACGACTTCGAAACTTTAGTTTTATAGTTTTCTTTGTTCTCTCCTATTTGTCGTCGTTGGGGTAGCATAATTTTCCAGATGTCTTGCTGGACAGGTTTTGAATCATTCCTATTACACGTATCTGCAGTTGATTCGATAAACAAAGCTTCTGTTATCAATCTCTCCCGCCATCCTGTGACATTAGATTTTAGAACTGTCAACCTATCTCATCCTATTGTATTTTAAAATCTAATGTAACAGCTAGGTGGAGGGAGAGATTGATAACAGGAGCTTTGTTTATCAAATGAACTGCAAATACGAGTAATAGGAATGGTTCAACGCCTGTCCAGCCGGATATCTGGAAAATTCTACTTCCCCAGCGACGAAAAATAGCAGAGAACGAAGAAAACTATAAAACTCAAGTTTCGAAGTAGTGTGATTATAAACGATGAAATGATTATGAACAATAATAGATTGTGTTTGAAACCTCATCATCCAGTAAATAATACTGTTTCACTGTGTGTGATACATCTATAAACAAACTAATATGGAATTTTTACCCACAATGGAATTATACTCCATTGATACAGCAGCCGAAAACTCAGAGCTACTTTTATAATATATGAGAGAAAGGTATACTCTGTAACACTTTTATACAGTTTTTATGCATTCATTTTTCATAAATATGTGTATTTCATGTACAAAAATACCTCTTTCACGTGATTGGTGCGTTCGAGGTCATTTGTTGATTGGTAGTTAGTGGTGCATAAATTTTAACTTTGCCGTGTACCCTTTTTTGGAATTCTGTCTAATTTACTACTGATATGAAATAATGCATTTATTGTTCTTTATTGCAAAGTAAAATCGATGTGTGTTACATTACTTAGCATAATACAGTCTTACTGTTGCTCCTTTTACCAACTGGCAGAGATACACACTTTCGGAATGGGCGGAAATCTATCAAAATTAAAGGATTCCGCTCTAGTGATTCAGTCAGCAGAGTGAAAAGGGAACACATTCAAGATGACTAACTCATCACTTTGAATAGTCCTCGGTTTGGCAAATTAATACTTTAAATTCGCCATTCGTTGTATAATTCCAATGCAGATGAAGGGTAGGCAACCGAGTCTGATTACTTCAATGTGCATTTATAAATTTAATTGTTCTTGTGTTGAGAGACAGTTACATAGACAGAACGATTCAGTAAGCCTACCATCGCATTCTCGAGTATTATCTACCATGGCTAGATAAAGGAGTTGTCAAGTCAATCAGAAGTTCCATACTGCCACACCTTGCGGATACGGAGAACAAGATTGATAAAGAAAATCCCGCCTTTAAGATGTTATACAAGGTGACATCTCAATTCTGTGAGTTTGTACCCATTCGGTTGCTAAAGCTTAGCTGAGGCAGTTATCGTAGAAACTTTTAAACTCAACTTCTGTGTTCACAAAACGTTTTTTCAGTCCCTGTCCATTTCATAGAATTTAACTCCAACCTAGAATAATTGTCTCTCCTGATGACACCGGGTAACTGTAAACATTATTTTTATTTGTACTGCCAAATTCATTATCGGTATCATACTGTGTTATAGTTACACATTTTAATCTTAGTTTCACAATGTCTTGTCATATTACTTAATTGCTATATTTTTAGTTTTATTCCGAGTGGAACCTAGAGCTTCAGACGAGATGCTTGGAGTTTTGGTAACAGTAGCCTTATTTCCACAAGGTGGAGATGCTAGACCCAGTCACGACTCCTAGATTAGAAATAGTAAGTGAAGTGGTTGAGCACGTTGACCGCTTCACTTATTTGGGAAGTACCATCAGCCCCAACGAGGTGATCTCTGACGAAATTTCAGTACGGATACAGAGGGCTAGTTTTGCATATGCTAGTTTACGCCGTCTCTGGAGTGGACGTGATATCCGACTATCGACCAAAGGGCGGGTGTACTGCTAAGCAGTCCGCTCTGTCCTCCTTTATGGCCAGCTGTGAGACCTGGCCATTGAGAGTGGAAGACATGAAAGATTAGCTGTCTTTGATCATAGGTGTCTGCCTTCTATCTCCCGTGTGAAGTGGTATAATAAGGTCGGCAATATTGAGGTTAGGCGTCAAGTACTAGGTAAGGAGGGGAAATCAATCAACGAGGCTGTGAAATTACATTGACTGAGATGGTTAGGACATGTGTTACTTATGCCTAGTCATCGCCTTCCTCGACAACGGGCACTGTTAGCTGACATAGGGTCAGGCTGGTATAAAGAGCTAGCGGCGGTCAAACCAAAACATGGCACCAGTCAATGAAATCTACAACAGTTAGTTTAAGCCACGTAGGAAGATGTAGACTTCCTGGTTGGGGTCCTCGTGATGGTAAAAACCAATGGTTGGAAACAATTGGTGACATGGCTCAAAATCGCTCTCAATGGCTGGCGCAGATGCATCCACTCCTTGTGACTTATGATTTCCAATGAAACTGTTTTGTTCTTCGTTATTACTATTCCTTTGTCTCACACCTCTGTTTACTGTCTCTATTATGCATTTCTCCTACTTTCTTCTCTTGCTTTGTGTGCTACATGGAGGGAGTGTGGCGACTTGAACTGTCGCACATAGGTGCAAAGTTCTATGTCGAAAACAGACAGTCACAATCTTCCTTGTTTACCAGCCTAACTACTGGCTGAGGGAGGTTTCGGAGTACGTCAGCCGGAGATTGGATGCCGTGTCACATGCATGGTTCTTGGACGTTCTACCACTGAACCAGCGACGTACAGTCGCAATGTGACAATAGTTATTCTCAGTTCTACCCCTCACTAGTATACATATACTACATACACATTCACTATCACCTAGATTATAAAAACACTTGAATGAATTCATCCTTGTTAATAATTATTTTTATGATCACCACTGTTGTTATCCTCTGACTCGCATCCATGAACTTTGATTATATTTGGTTCTGCTGATCCACATTGTTTCGAATGACTGTGATTAATACTTAATTGTGTAATTTTAAAGCCTGAAGAGAATTTACTGGAAATACTTATTTGATGGGGGAGTTTAATGTAACTGAAATGATGATGATGGATCCTCAGTAATGACATAACATAATAATTGTAATACTTCAGAAGACACTTAACAAGGAATTTTTACATGAAAGATAAGCAGCCTAAACTGGTCACCGACTCAGTTCCAAAGAAAACTTTATTCATGAACTTGGAATTCAAAGGTGATCAAGCTTCAGATATGCGCAAAAATCGTATCTCTAAAGCAGTCCATAAGACGTTCTTTACAGCAAGATTATATATGACGTTCACCAGCCGCAAGTCGTCCTCTACCTCTTTAAAAGATAAGCTCCCCCATCTGGCCGCCTTTATTTGCATCTATCGGTTCACGTGCTCTTGTGGAGCAAGGTACAGTGGCCGTAGCCAGAGGACGCTTTCCATACGGATACGAGAACATATTCCAGCATGGTGCAAAGCTCTATTCTTGAACACCTGATCGACTCCTGTCACTCTGCCAACCCTAACCATGATTTTAGGATCATATATAGAATCCATGCTAACTTACCACGTTTTCTTCGTTACAGACTTCTAAAGACAGCGGAGATCTTGGCAATTCATGAGTTTAAACCAGACATCTTTGTGTACAAAAGAAGTATGTACAATCCCTACTTCTGCCTTGGCCGTAAAGGGATAGACATTTATTTATTTTGTTTATTAATTTATTCTATGTACCTTTTCCTTATTACTACGATTATTATTATTATCATTATTATTACTGTTCCCACTCTGAATTGTTTCCACTTGTCCCACTTGTCATTCTAAATCCAAAATTATTACATTTTTTGTTTTTAGAATATTGAATTCTATCGTATCAAATTTCACACCATGTCATGTAACATTTTATATTCGCCTACTAATCCTATAATTATGCACCCCTTTCCAGCATCTAACACCCATCTTATGTATTATTCTATAAATGACATTGATTGTTTTGCTACTTGACATTAAACTATGATTATAATCACAAATATTTTCATTGCATTTCATACTACTACTATTATTATTTCATGCATTTATACCTTTGACCTAATTCCCTCACCGGATATAATTTCTTTAAAAAACCATATATATACGATTGTACAGCTTGATAATAAATTCGTTGTTGAAAAGAGTCTCCTCTTCGCTGAATATTGTGTTCTTATTGAAGAAAGGCTGCTGACTTTCGACTATCCACATCCAGTGTAATTTCGTAGTGAGACAAATATTTTAAAATAAGGCACATAACTCAAAAAAGAGAGCTGCTCAGAAAGATTTAATCCCATACCTCCAACGAATACTCGAAGAACATAATAATAAAACACACGAATGACTAAATCACTGAATGTTCCAGTGGCTACCATCGTGAAATTAGAAGGCTGTTATGTAATCATTTTGGTGACGGAGTTGTTTGATTTTTCGAAGTTGGAAAAAATCCCCGAACAACCAGTTTTGGTCCAGTCTGGACGCCAGGGTGGTCGTGAAATCAATGAACTTCAACAGATAGTATCCCTGATCCTACCTGAAATTTCCATCGTCCCAGTTATTCCCACTATACCGACCGATGCCCAAAGATGAGACCTCCATCATACTACTAGCATTGTTGTACTTGGTGTTTCGTTAATTCTTGTCCGTATAAGCAGCATCAATGCCAATACTGCGACAGTGTTGGACACAAAGATGGTTTAAGCCAGAAACGCACACACGACGACACTCATAACGGCCATCCTTGACGAGTCACTGTAGACGCTGTTCCTAGTCAGTACCTGCGCACTAAATGTTCGTTTGTGTTCAGTCTCTACATTCCACAAATGACACTAAGCCTGTTTCCTAACCAAAGAGAGCTGAACCAGGTGTTTCATTACCATAAGTTGATGCCAAACTCTCCCATCCCAAACAATAAGTTACTGTCAAGCTTGTTCTAATGGAGAGAAGGCCACAACAGATCACTCCCTCGGTATCAGTTAGTCAGGTGCAGAAAACAGGCGGTGCGGTTCCAGGTCGAACTAAAGTAATACGTCTTTTTTAAAGCAGAAGGTGATACAGTGGTCAATGTTTCGTCTGGAAATAAAGCAATCAGAATTCGATCCACGTAAAATAACGCTTAATATTTTATTGATCATGATTACAGACTAGCTGATACATCCTTGATGATGTTTTGAATCGTACATTATCGCGTAAGGTAGGATTTTGGGCTCACACCGTGTCGTGTGTTCTCGTCTAAGTAATGACGGTTAGGGAGACAGGTTGCTGTCATATAATGTTCCTGGCATATTCATGCGGTATTTGTGGTCAGAGCGTTTGTATCTAAATCTGTGTTCCTATTTCACACTCAGTGAATTGCAAAAAGCACAACGTCATTCTTCTAATGAATTCAATTCTACCGACAAATTGATGGGGTCGCGATGTGTTCACCTCTGGGACTGGCTGATATCTTCGTGGGCAACCTTGAACAGACACAACTAAGTTCTGCTATCAATGAAACAACCTACTATCGCCGATATGTTGATGACACATTTGTTGTTTGCAACGACGTGGATCACGCATCGGCATTATATGATCGCCTAAATGAGATCCATCTAAATATCAAATTCACCATGGAATATGAACATAAAAATGAGTTCAATTTCCTGGATCTAAATGTAAAAAGAACAAACGAAGGCATGATCGAAAATTCTATCTATAGAAAAGAAACCTGGACTGGACAATATCTTCACTATAACAGCTTTTGTCCCATAAGCTATAAACGTGGATTAGTGAGGACTTTGTACGACAGAGCTAGGAAGCTATGTTCACCGAACAAGGTCGACGGAAAACTAGATTTCGTCGAGAAATGCCTGAGGGAAAATGGATACCCTAAGGGATTTATACAGAAGTATAACAGAGAAGACGATAAGAAGGAAAAGCATCCAACTGTAGAAACGAAAAAAGTGTTTATTTGTTTCCTATTCAAAGGAGATGCAGTATCACAAAAGATTGACAGAAGACTGAAATGAGCAATAAATAGAAGCTTCCCGACAGCAAAACTCATAACAGTATACAACACCACTTCTTCTATAAGCCACTCAAAACTGGATAAATACCCTGCTGATGTCACCTCCAACTGCGTTTATGAATTTACGTGCACCTGCAGCAGCAAGTACATTAGAAGGACGGAAAGAAGGGTTTCTATCCGGTTTTCTGAACATATTCCAAGAAACCTATGCCTGAAAGGAAGCAAATATTCTCAGAGCGCAAGTACCAGACATATTGTTGATACCGGACATCTCGTGGAGATTTCTAAGTCCTTCAAAATATTAAATAGACAAAGGAGAGCAAATTTACTACGATTTGCCGAAGCGATCGCAATCAAACGATTCAAACCAGACTTATGCATACAGAAAGAGAGTGTGATTAACCCTTCACTCCCTTGGTAACTAAATTTTGATTCTGATTACAATAATTAGTCATCTAATTCAGTGATCTCAACTGACTGAACAAATCTTAATCTCATAAACTGTAACAGCCTTTGTTTTTTGAAGTTGCTATGTGAACCTACAAGCTAACACTGTTTCTGTTAATCAATTTTTCTGTTTTCTGTCTTACCCCTCCCCTCTCCCTCTTTTCAACTTTGAAAGTGTATAAATTGATGATGATAACTTCAACTAAAAATTGTAACGCTTCATTCCTTTTTTGGATGCGTCAATTTTATCTCTTCTCTACTACTACTACTACTACTCAAACATTAAAGTATGTTACTATCATTTATATAACCATTGTAATTTCAGGTAGTCTGCAGCTGATGAGAACCTGTGAAATAGAATGACGATATCATTTTAAATCGCAAATCTCGTCCTCCTTTCTTTATCGAAATTTATCAAGGGAACCAATTGTATGAAGAACCTAGAATTCAACTTACATTTCTTCCTTTAGAATCAACACCACGTACTGATGCAAACTGTGAGACTACAAATGCCAATAAGTATGTTGACATATTAAGACTGGGCTCATACACGTCCATATGCCAGTCGTCGTGGAGTATTTCAGTCTTCTCCAATGCCATATTTGATAGTGAATGATAATGTTTTTTGCGTATAATTCTAACCTGTAAAATAATCGGGGTAAAAAAGAAAGATAAAACAACCAAAAACACAGTTGATTAGAACTTAGCTGACTGTGTTTTTACTGCATAAATGAGGACAGTATGCAAGCATTTATTAATTTTTATCAGGCAGGTACTTAGTTATTGGATTGTTAGTGCCTTATTTACTTTCTCTTGCGTTTTCTACCACAACTTAAAGCGGAAATCATCAGTTTATTACTTCAACAAATAATCATTTGGCGAAATTTACTTACTTGTCCTGTAAGTCCTGTGATTTAGTCTGCAAATAATTAGTTTGCAATATTTAAAAATTGAAAGAAATACATATTTCAACCATGTCATTTACATCGTGTATTCAGCTCATTCCCCGTGGAAACGAAAATGTCTCCCGGTCATATAAGTGTTTCTTAATACCCCTAGATTCCACTCTCTTCTGTTTTCCTACTACTACTACTACTACTACTACTACTGCTACTACTACTACTACTACTACTACTGCTACTACTACTACTACTACTACTACTACTACTACTGCTACTACTACTGCTACTACTACTACTACTGCTACTACTACTACTGCTACTACTACTACTACTACTGCTACTACTACTACTACTACTACTACTACTGCTACTACTACTACTACTACTACTAGGTAGGTAAAGGAGGTTGCTTCTGTCAGATTTCTCCCATTTATGCTGGCTGACTGTTGTCTGTTGTTGTTGCTGTAGCTGTGGCTGTTGGCCAGGAATCTTCACCACCTACCTCTCTTCTCTCTATGTTCACCTGAACGAAGTCCTATCTTCCTCTGGATGCTTCTTCTGCCAACTTGTTGCTTTTCACTTGCATATCTTCCACTTTGTGTGAAATCAGACATATATCATCGGCCAAGTCCAGATCCTCCAAGTGTTTTGTGTGGGTCCATTTTGTGTCTGTCTCCTCGTTGTCCACTATCTGTCACATTGTCCAGTCAACCGCACTCAGGAGAATCATAGGAGGTAGTAGGTAGCCAACCAGCCTTGTCTTAGTCCCGTCTTCACTTCGAAGGATTCCGTGAGTTTCCTGTTGTAGATTACTTGGCATGCAGCATTGTCTTACAACTGTTGGATGAGATACATTATTTTTGGCTGCAGCTAGTAGTAGAGAAGCAGTTTCCAAATCACATCTTAGTTGACGCTGTCTGCTGAGGGCCTTTTCAAAGTCGATGAAGTTGAGTGAGGTAGAGAGGTGAATGCCATTCCAAGCTCTGTTCAATGATGATCCGTAGCGTTGCGATTTGATTGATGCATGACTTGTTTCTCCTGAATCCAGCCTGTTCCGGTCGAAGATTTTCATCCAAAGTGTTTTCGATTCTCTCCAAGATGATGAGGCTTAGTATTCTCCTTGTAATTGACAGGAGCATAATGGATTTTGCACTTTAATGATGCTATAATTTCCCTCCACTCATTTTGTTCAGCTTACCACTAGTTATAGATGAACAAATTGAAGGTGAACTTCCTTTTTAATAATAACAAGGATTAATATATAATGTCTTCTTGCTTCTAAAATAAAATGGCTATTATTTGACTTTAACATGTCAAATAAACGTACACAATTTGATAAATCCTATATGAAATTGAACAGCTTCCTAAAAAACAATAAATTTCTCATCGATTTGTCTCAAGTGAAGGAGAATATTTTGAGATGTTTGGATTTCTCTATTCAGCATCGTTATTTATTGTGAATGCTTTCCAGCTATTATTCACATGAACTCTTAACAATATACCCTATGGCCTTCGCACTTGAATTGAGTCAAAAAAGTGACACATGTATCTCATCTTCATTCTGTGATTATGTATTCAACTGAACTGGTTGACAGTGCAGATGTGAGCCATATTTAGGCGTGATGATGAAAACAAAATGAAGGATAGCTTATTAGATGCTTGGAGGCAATTGGCGACTGGGTTTCGTCCCAGTTGGCACTCGTCAGGAAGACGCATCCCTAACCTCCTTGAAGGAACTCATATCCCTTCTAAGATTCCAACCCACCTCACCCAGTGCTGCAGTTAGAGACGTCACCACTGAGTTAGCTATTCGAGCTTGCAGCTGACCTCCTGTAGGACTGTATTGGATATTTTTGATTGGACACTAGTCAGTAACTAGTGTAATGTGTGTTTGTGTGTGCGTCTAGTCTTTTATTTCATGCAGACTGAATTCTGTCAGTCAAGTTCGCAGTGTGGTCACCATGTCACTAGGTGGCTCACCATCACAGTACACTGTGAATTGTTGATAATAGATGGTTGGAGGCAATCGGCAGGAAGGTTAACTAGCTTAATAAAACATTTAAAGAAAATATAGTACATTTTTGAATTGAAGTGAAGGATATTCCTTTTTATAAAATTTAACTTAATTATTACCGTATCCAGTATCCCAGAAAAATGTTAAGTTTCATCTGAAGACAAACTTAAAGTTCTATACGACACGTTATCGGAAAACAGCTACTCTGAAAAGTTAGTTCATCAATAAACACATCGCCAAGAAAGAACAGAAGGATTTTTTTGCATCTGTTAACAAGAAGCTTACTTATATATATTCAAGAGTTGGACTGGAAGGATTAGATTTGTTTTTATGAGTTTGACCACGGATGATATCAGTCAAAGAACCATTGAAAACCAAGGAGTGCTGAAGAGCTGTTTCATCCTAGTATTAGTGTGGGTGTATGTCGAGTAGTGGCGTTGTTGTTACAGTTGGTGTTGCACTGTTAGGATTAGTGTGGGTGTATCTAGCGTAGTGTTTTTGGCGTTCCTGTTGGTTTTTGCAGTGGTAGCATTATCGACAGGACGCACCCACCGACAGAGTTCGAACCCAGGACCTTCTGGTTACAAGGCAAGCTCGTATACCATTCAGTCACTGGCACTCAATTCAGTGGCCAGTCCATGGATTCTAACTTCTACCAATTGGGGATTTAGCGCGACTGGCACCAACTAATGTCATCGGCGGGACATCCGTCCTCACAATTCACTGAATGGACCTCAGTGGTTCTCTAAATGATATCAATTCACGGTCAAACTCGTAGAAACATATATATATCTACTTACAGCTACAATTTAAAGATGATATACCAGGTATAATAATAACCAACAAGTTAACAAAATCGATTCAAAAAAGATTTAATTCCCGCAAGATTCAACCCATTGTGATTCCGAAATCGAAAGACGAAGTAACTAGGCCATCTAGCTACCTTTAATTGTATCTATCAATGCAACTGCTCCTGTCAAGCCAGTTTTATTTGTCATTGATCTAGGAACTCAATTTTTCGTGCTTGGGAATACCTACGAGTGTGATTGAATAAAGCTGTTATTATTACTATCAACAGTTCCATGTTAATTAGATCATCTTTTCCGAACAGACCACAAGGCTAGCTAGGTAGCTAGCATTGAATAGCCTTCTTCATTGCCCTCTGAGTATTGAATAGATTATCAAAGGGCTCAAGGTACCAAACTCTACAAACAGCAGAGGTCTTTGCAGATTGGCTTAAATCAATCGAAGCTCTGTGTGAGTGCAAAAAAACTCAGGTCCAGCCAGTTACTATTGCTATCTTGGCTTACTGTCGAGCCTATAAATTCATAAATTCTGTGTGTTACTTCCCTTAATTTATCTGATATTCAGCCGGTTTAGTTGGTGTTATATTAACGCATATTATCTTTATCTTACTGACACTTTTGAAGTGTCATCTGTTGGTACTATTGATTCAATGTATTTTAAAGTAACATTGATGTCGTTAATAAGACGAATATTTGTTTAATTATTGCTGTCATATAAATGTAGAACCTGATAACGAATTAATCGATGAAGAATATTCGTTGTTCATTAATGAGTCTTAGATTTTTGATAGGCGCCTTTAATAAATTATAATGTCTGTACGTAAATGTTCTTCACTGTAACTTCAAGTCTGCGATGTTTCAAACCAATTTTTAAAGAACACCCTAAATATTGATAAAATATTCATTTAGACAATTAGAAATAAATTGAACAAAGAATATCCTTTTTGGTAATTTCCTCTTCTGCCTCTACAATTATAAATATATGCTTATAAACATAGAATATTCTAGTATATTAGTCAACAACAATATTGGTGTTTTTAGATATTATCGAACTATTCCGATCAATGAGATTACAGTTTAGGAGAGACGCCTAAGTTATTCTAAGCATACAAATATAATAGCAAATAGAATATCAAATAAAATTAAGGAAATTTCCATAACAAATTAAGGGTCGTTAAATTTTTGATGTCCAAGATAAAGACAGTGTATGAACTAACCAACTTCTTTTCGATACATAATTTAAGCTTCTTAATGTGAATGCCGAAAGCCAACCTCAGCAATATGTAGTATAACTCTTAAGGTAAAGTTAAGATTAGTCAGTATGCGGTAGACGACTCTGAAAACCTCATGAACATCAGTCTACTGATCTGTCTCCACGAGATTAGATAGAGTAGAGCTGTGAATGGATTCTGTTTATCTCTTAGTTAACCACGCTGGATGAGGTTCGGAAATCTGACGAGAAACACGCCTAATTGTACGACCTATATAAATGACTGGTCCCACAAGATCATTCAAACTGGTGGATAAACATAGAAGAGTCGAAATCAGGCAGTTCAACCTTTACTGCCGAACGCTAAATAGGGGTGGTTTTGAAGACACAGCATAATTCAGCAGCACTGAGTGCTCCTCTTACCGTATTACTCTGATGTTGTGTTAAAATCTCACTGGTGTTACCTCCGAGGAACTGAAGGTTTATGAATAAGGCTTTTTTCGGAACAGTTGGTACTTTGGCCTGCCTTGACTTTTGATTAACATTCTTATCGATGATTCTTTCTGGATTGGCGTTTTCGCTCAGCAACTGTTCAATAATATTAAGCTCTTCATTAAGACATTCATCAGGGCATATTACTCTTGTTCTGTGGTGGACCAAGCACTTTATTAGATTGCCTTTGTATTTCAAAGGCATGAAGCTGAAAAAAATGAGAATACTGACAAGTTGATGTTGCTTTTCTATATAGATTTCTTCTTATCGTACCGTTCCTTTTTCTAGTTATAAGGACGTCTAGGAATGAAACAGAAGAGTATCTTTTTTTCTCAATGGTAAAATTTATTGTAGGATGAACATCGTTAAATTTACCAACAAGGATGTTCTTTGCTTCATTCTCATTTTTTTCATCATCAAAAATATATCATCCATGTACCGAGAGTAGAATTTTAGTTCATCAATTACATCTTTCAGTGATCCATTCTCTAGTTTTTCAAAGATGTAAATACTCGCGTATGTTAGGTGAACTAGAATAGACTTGAAACTTAACTTCGTATGAAGTGATCCCTAAATAAAACTTTCATATATATAAAAAAATGAAAGCCAATAAAAGGATAACTGTCAGCTTCTACATTAATCATGGCTGTTTATTTTATCTATTTACGAATTCGCGTCGGTGGCATAGCGGTTAGGACGCTCGTTGACCATATACATGGTCCGGGGTTCGATCCCCGGCCGACGCACTCCTTTACCTCGCTAAGCCAGCAGTAAAAAAAGGTAAAGAGGGAAGGTTGGTCATGAGGCTAGCAACCACATCCTGTAAAAATAAACGCTGCCACAGAATCTTCAAGCCTCTAGCTTGAAGCCCTATGTTCCACTGGGAACGTGAAGGAATAAAAAAAATTTACGAATTCATTTTGCGACTGATAGGTAGCGCAACCAACACTAGTTTAGTTGTTAGATTTCAGTAGTGCCTCAATCTTTATTATCATTTCTTTTTTTTTCTCAACAGGTTTAATTCAAATAGACATGAATGAAATCAAAAGGCGTACTGGATGGTTAAGAAATTTCACACCTGAAATTGTGCCTTAAATCCAGGCTCATCCCAGCAAGGAAATACACGTCGAGCATCCGTTGGTTGAAGCTGGCTAGTTGCTAAATATCTGTAATCCAAGAAAAAGAAAAGACGAAGGAACTTTTAGATGTATACACTGAAAAAAAGTAAATCATCGTTATTATTATCACTGGTAAAAGAGGTTTTCTAATAATAAAAATAATAATTTTCGCTTTATTCCAAAAACAGTAATAATAATAATTTGCTTTATTCCAGAAACAGTACTAGTGGTACAGTGTGGAATTTTCAGCACATATCTACAATATTTACATCTAATTTCATCCAACGTTTAAAAGGAGTATTTCAAAAAAATAAATATAAAGACACCAACAGAAAAAAACACAAAAAACACAAAAATAATTAAAACAATGCGAAAAAAATACCAAGAAGTAGAAAGGAAAATAAACAGCATATAATAACCCAGTATTGGGTAGTGGAAGCTATGATATGGTTATGCATGGTGACAGTAAAGCTATACTCATACAAGAAGTTATGAAATGATATTTAAGAATGTTTATCGCCAAGATGATCAGTTAATATGGTTGAAACAACATTAAACAAACATAAAATAACAATTCAGGGTTTTTATGGTCAACTCTAATGCGGTGTTTGTAGTGGAAGTGTGAGTAATCCTGAATAATACAAAATTTTAAGATGGTTGATAATGGCGTTCACAACCAATGATTGTCAGCTTAATATTGCCGAAAAGTATAGAGAATAAGAAAAAAACAACCACAAAACTATTAATCACATGATGGCTAATGACAGGACAATTTTGTAATACTCATAGTGCTAATATAGTCGGAACCAGTAGATACACAAAAGAAGGAATACAGTAAAGTACAAAAAGTAAGCCAGTGTTAATAATTTAGGTAGATAAGTATGCTTAAGAAGGAGTTCACTATAGAGTGCAAAATAAGAGAGAAATAAAAGAGCCTAAAATTATGGTTATTAACAACAAAGCAAGTCATAGGTTTAGCGCTTAACATTGTCTCTGTCACTTAGAACACGAGCCAAAATGGTATCGTTGAGTTCCTGTACTTGGTTGTACGAGCATAGATTATTTTATACTGGTTTCTGGTTCTACCTGATGAGATGCAAGGGGATACTTGTGAATAAAGGGGGTGCAGGGGTCTGACAGTACGGCCTTTGCCCATTTTGTACGGGATTTTATATGTCTGTCGACTGTAATATTGGCAAGCTCACACATTGGCATACCACAAGCCCTACTCACAGCATTTAATTCCCTTCGTAATATGATATAGTCTTTTTTGAGAAACCCAGGAAAGATTATTGAAGAGCAATGGAGTACAACAAGTAAAATACAGGAGTTTAAAAACTGCAGAAGTAAAGGTTGGTTGATACCTGATTGTATTAACTTTGTAATGTAGAAGGTAAGACGAAACATTTTCTCAGAGATTGATAAGGTGTGGGATGACCATGAAAGGTCAGAGGGAGGAGCTAATTCAAGGTATTTAATGCTTGACTTGGTTTAAGTTTCAGTGCCATCTATGCTACAGGCATCATGGGAACTAACTAGTTCATGTATGTCACGTCAATGCTTGAAAGTAAAGTTAACTGCCTGACATTTAGAAGGATTTAACATAAGACCACTTGACTTAGACCACTTGCTGATGTCCAACAGAAAGCTATTAAGTTTGGAGCAGTCAGACTCGGAAGTGATAGGCAGTGATACAGTCAGATCATCAGCATATTTGACAAAGTTAGTTTCGTTTAAATGAGGCAGGTTTTGTAGGAAGAAAGAAAAAAGAAAAGGAGAGAGGACGGAATCTTGAGGAACACCGGCTTTTGTAAGCGAGGCAGAAGAAGATTTGCCATTATATACAGTATACTGCATTCTATCGGAAAAATAAGAATGCAGCCAACTCGTAGCCCAGGATCCTGTTTGCGTCAACAGAAGCTTATTTAGTAAAAGGCCCCTGGGTACAGAGTCAAAAGCGGATGTGTAGTCTATGAAAGCACCAAGAACATATTTGGCACCTTTGTCTAAACAAGAAACAACATTATGATATAAGAAAACCGCAGCATCCAAGGTACATCTACCATGTTTATATGCAAATTGTTTAGGATCATTAAAAGGTTTCAATGAAGGTTCAAGACGAAGTAAAAGTAATTTTTCCATCAATTTTAAAAAGGAAAAGTAATTGCAATAGGCCTAAATTTAATATTAATACTAGAAAGTGGTTTTGGTATGGGGATTATTTTAAAGCTTTTCCGTGCAAAAGGTAGAACATTACTGGAAAGGGAAGCATTAAGAATGTTATTTAGAGGGTAACATAAAATATCAGCACAGTTCCTGAGGACAAGGGCAGGTACACCATCAGGACCAAGGCTTTAGGAACGCTAAAGAGACCAGAGACATTTAAGCACATCAAGGGTATTAAAACCATTAAAATTGTTGTCTATATGATTTGTAACATTAGGAAGGATATCGACAGAAGAGCGTATGAAAGACTTATTTAGAGTATCAACATTACGAGATGGAACAGAAGCACATCACTTAACGCTAGTTATTTCTTTGAAAAGTTTCCACAGATTAGAAGGGGTTTTACACGTCAAGAATCTTTGGTGATATAAAACATTTAGTCTTGCATTTTGAATTTTATCTATTAAGAATTGATAAAATCAATTTCTCATAAGTAGGAGATGAAATGTTTACTACAACGCAAATTTGAAGCCATTTGTCTTCTAAGCCACACACACGAAATTGTAGTTTACGCAAAATACCACCGTTCTACCATAAAATCGATTACATACAGCAATATATAATGCATGGAGCAAATTACCTCTATTTTTTTATTCCTTCATGTTCTCAGTGGAACATAAGGCTTCAAGCTAGAGGCTTGAAGTTTCTGTAACAGTGTTTAGTTTTACAGGATGGGGTTGCTAGCCTCATGCCCAACCTTTCCTCTTCACCAGCTTTAGTTCCGGCTTAGCGAGGTAAAGGCCGTGGATTGAACCCCGGGCCATGTGCATTGTCGGCGAGCGTTCTAACCGCTGTGCCACCGACGCACTGCTATACCCATAATTAAACCAAAATCTGGGCATATCATTGTTAATGATACATTCGCATTCATTAAAATAAATGACTTGAGTTGATTTGTAAGAATTAAATTTGCGTTTATGAGTTTGACCACGGATTGACCAACTCGTGAAAATTAATCTGATGCTCGCTGGTGACTGACTTGCTACAGGACGCAGTTTCCTGTAGTTCTAGTGAGAAGTCGTGACAAGTGAAATCCATCCGGTCAAGTGTGTGAGGATGGATGTGCCACCGATGACATTGGTTGGTGCCAGTAGCGCTAAATCACGAATTGGTAGAAGTTAGAATTCATAGACTGGCCACTGAATCAGGTCCCAGTGGGTGAATGGTATATGAGCTTGCTTTTTAACCAGAAGGTCCTATAGTAGTGGGTGTGTACTGGGGATAATTATCAAACTAGGATGAAACAGCTGTTCAGTACTCTAGTGCTGGTTTCCATTGGTTCTCTAACTGATATCACTCCATGGTCAAACTCGTAAACATAAAGAATATCTCTAAAATAACGGCTAGAGTACTAGAACTGTTTGAAATAGACATAGAGCAAAATCCAACATGATCTCTTCATTCAGGATTGTGTAAACCACAGGATCCAACAGCAAAAGAAGATGAAACCAATAGGATTTACAAAGTCAACTGCATAAACTGCGATAAACATTACATTGGTCAATGTGGACGTTCCCTACAAATCACAGTCTAACAACATAAATTCATTGCAAAAAGGATGCGATATCCTTTCTTTCACATCTATGCATGCAGACAATTAAAGACATCAGTTCGATTGACAAAAAGTAGAAATTTGAAACAGAGGGAACACCAGAAATGCCAAGGAATTTATAGAGGCCTGACACTCAGGTGAATCAGAGATTAATCGAAACACTAACGAAAAATAAATCCCATAACAAGAAAATTCTAAATTCCAAGTGAATAGAAGTGATCAGTAAAGATGGAGAAATAAAAACAACCAACTACAACAAAGAAGGTTGTCAGGAGATACAGTTGTATCTTTCACGGAGAGCATTCAAACAAGTTCAATTCGTATTAAAGCTTTCGCTGAAAATGTTGTCTATAAGAGGGATAATGATAGATTCTCAGTTAAATCAACCGGCTCAGAGAACAAAACCAAATCAAAATCATCCACCCAAGCTACAAATCTTTCACCCCAACCAAACTTATAGTTAGTGAGTTAGAAGCCAATTAGTTGGAGCGCACACGTAATGTGAGGGTTGACAATACTAACCAGTTGCCGAAGTTGAAGCAGGTGATGCGAAATACAACCTGTGAGCCCACTGACCGACAGCTGAGCCCTTAAGCTAATGATTTATGTCTGCACCAAGATCACCGATATACATAGACCTTTTGCGTTGTAAATTCTTGAAATCGAAAATAAACAGTGAGGATAAACCTGCGAATAACACGAAATTAAAGGTTGAATAAAATGACCTCGTAGGTTAATGTGGTGACTTAAAGTGGTTATTATGCACCGTCAGTACTTCTTCTGGTCTTTGCAGGTGTCGCATAACGAAGGTGACAGGCGAACGTTTGTAGATGGATTTGTAAGATCTCTGTCATAGAAAAACAGACCTACTGGTCTGATCTTGTATAAAATATGGTCGACGTAGTCAAACGCGGTCACCCGGCATATATGTATTTCCGTAGACTAATGCACCATGGTTGGTTTTCTGATAGTCACTCCACAGACGTGCATGTATATATATACATATATGTATTCACACCAAGATCCTGTAGGTGGAGCGTGCACTCTACGGTCTCGTAGGGAATACCAGAAAGAAGATGAGTCGGAGAGAAAACATTCAAAGAATGTATGAGCGGATACCAGGTACGCAAGTAGGCATTGTGACAGAGGTTCATCCAGCAGTCCATTGCTATGCGACTGACCCAGGTACAAAGGATTGCTTCAATCGTTTGTTTTGCATACCGACTGAATGACTAGTTACAACCTAGCACTTTCCACAGATGTGTGGTAGTTCGAGTCGCTACACTCCAATTAGCACACAAAGCAAGAGAAGAAAGTAAAAAGAAATGCTAAATAGAAACAGTAAACAGGCAGGCCACAGGCTATTCCCCTGTGTATGATACAGGGTGGTGTGAGTCTTCCAAATACCGTACACAGAACAATCATGGGCTGTCAGTCAACTTTCAAATGCCTGTCCTTGATCAAAGTGTAAGGTCAGTGTGGCTCTATACCGTTCTACTTATGTGTTGGAGAATACATTCACCATAGTAGTAGCATCTTACTGTGAGACTGGCTCGGCATCACACTACTTGATAAATTAGTTGACCATGACGAAAATATATCGATTACCATTTTTTGTTGCTGTTGACAATCCCATGACGTCAGTGCCAACATGTTTATGTGGTCATGTCGTTAACATTGGGATCGTCGGTGCGCGGGCTTTATGAGTTGGAAATTTGAGGTATGCAGGTTTCTTAACGCTACCGGTAGCTTGGGCGCTTTTACGGACAATCTTGGTGGCCAGTTGCCTTCTTGCGGCCTTTCCGTCAGTAGGTTTGCGAACAATCTGCTTTGTATCAGCCATAATGAAACACATAGAGACGATGTTATTGTATATAGAATTGGTAAGTGTTCGAAGGGCATTTGTTAACCTGTCTTCGAATAAATACTTTTTTAACCAGAAATAGTATTTGCTTTCCTTTGCATATATATATATATATATGAATATCGCTACTATCATTATTTCTTTTATTTTTACATTTCCTTACATATTTCCTGACTAATTTATCCGGGTAATTATTAAGTTTCAAGGCTTTTTTCATGTGTATCAGTTCCTGTTTTAGATTTTCTTTGGTATTACTTAGTTTTGTGCTCCGTCACAATAATAATATTAATGACGTTACCAACAATAAGGAATCTAAATCACCACTATTAATTCCATACAAGGAACGAACCTCAGAAGCCTTACGCACAATTCTTAACGAGGCAGGATTAAGCGTGGCATTCAAATCCACAAACTCAATTAGAAACAAAGCTTTGTCGGTTAAAGTATCCTGCCATTGGATCCAATAAAACAAAACAATTTAGTTCATCGAAAACCCTGCTTGCAATGACTGTCAGGTCAAATACATAGGTTAAACTAGTAGAATAGGGACAGTTAGACTAGCTGAACATAAAAACTTAGCAAAATCTAGATTGGTTGATGCAAACAAGATAAAATATCTAGAGAATAACTCAGCTATAGCACTACATGCAGTTACACACAACCATACAATAGGATGGGATAGGATGACAGTTTTAAAATCTGATGTCACAGCTGAGTGGATGGAGAGATTGATAACAGAAGCTTTGTTTATAGAATCAACTACAAACACGTGTAATAGGAATGATTCAACATCTGTCCAGCCGGATATCTGGAAAATTCTACTACCCCTACGACGACAAATAGGAGAGAGCAAAGTAAACTATAAAACTCAAGTTTCAAAGTCGTGTGATTATAATTGATGAAATGATTATGAACAATAAATTTTGTTCGGAACCTCATCATCCAGTAAATAATACTGTTTCTTCACTGTGTGATATATCTTATAAACAAACTAATATGGAATTTAATGAAAGGTCTCATTCTGAAATGTTTAAATGGAGAGTTTCGACTTATAGTGGTTAAACAGTACTCATTCCTAATAAAATTTCGAGAATATCACATGCCTGAACAAATTTCAAATTCAGGCATTTATAATTTACCTGAAGGATACCTAAATGAAATGAGCGTAATACTCACATTTACGTTTGAAAGTCGAATTTCTGAAAGTAGCAGTGAGACATAATAGGATACAGGTTAGATCACAAGCTAACGTCAGTAAGAGAACCACTGGAAAGTCTGGGAGCACTAGGCAGTTGTTTCGTCCTAGTTTGGAACTCTTCATCAGTACACCTCCTCCACCAGGGTTCGAACCCATGACCTTCCGATTAAAAGGCAATAATATGATGCTCTCTAGTGATTTGCTGTATACAGGAATTTACCTGGAGTTCAAGTAAGAGACCAGTTACTCACATTTGACACTGGCTGGTGGTTGTGCCGTAGGCATATCGGGAGTTTGCAGAAGTTGGAATCCATGAACTCGCCACTGAGTCGTGTCCCTCTGGCTGAACGATCTATGAGCTCTCCTTGTTACAGCAATCACGGGGATCCAAAACCCAGAAGGTTCTTACTGATGAAGAGTCCTATTTTAGGACTCCATAGTTTTGCAGTGATTCTCTAGCTAATGTCACCTCATGAACAAACCTCTAACCCATTAAATTCCTGGAAATCAATCCATAATAGGATGACTTCAACTCTCCAATAATTAGAACGGGTTAACAGAAAAGTGAAAAAAATTGAGTAACAAAATTAAGATGTATATATATGTATAACATCAACTTACTTGTAGGTTCCATTTTCCAAATATTTACTTAAATACCATCCTTTTAATTGTTCAATTAAGGGAGAACGAAACTGTCGAAATTGTAATTGATAAAATGTATACGGTTGAAGTGAATGCACCAACTCTATCCGATACCATTCAAAATCTCTTTCATAGGATATATTTTTCAAGGCAATTTCTTCAACTGTTTCATTGTCTTTATTTAAAGCAAACATCTGAGCCAATTAAATAAGAAAAAGAAATTAGTTATTACAGTTTTATATACTGCTGTAAACAGTATCACTGTTTTTAATCATGAAAAACAATTAAAAAATAACAAGTCTGATGATGTCAGATGGTTGGAGGCAATCAGCCATGGGAAGCCTTGCTTGTCCTAGGTTTCGTGCTAGTAGGAACTCACTTGGTCAGCAAGGCGTATCTGCAACCTCCTTGAAGGATCTCATGTCTCTTCTGAGATTCGAACCCGTGTCACCCGGTGAGAACTGCATTCAGAGACGTAACTACTGAGCTAGCTATTTGTGCCACCTAGAATGGTGAGCACATTGCAAACCTGACTGACTGACTGATAGAATTCAGTCTTCACCAAAGAAAGGACTAGACACATCATACTAGTTACTAGTGTCGAATCAAAATAACAAGTTTGTTAAAAACCACCTGAGAACAAATTAATTTTAAATTTCAAAAGACTGATTACTGAAATTATCAGACAAATTATTATTATTTTTGTTCCCTTGGGTTCCTAGTGGAACATAGGGATTAAACTGCACGCCTCCATTTGCTTCTGTCTTCTGCTGTACTTTTCACTTGCATCCATGTTAGTCCATACTGTTTCAACTCCTCTTCACACGATCTCCTCCATGTCACCCTAGCATTGACGTCCCACTCGCCGCTTCCATTTCGGGTTCCACTCGAGCTATGGCCTGACGCGCGATGTCATTCAGTGACCTCCTCAGCGAGTGTTCAATCCATCTCCACATTCTCCTGCATATTTCTTGGGCGATTGGTTCTTGTTTTGTTTGGTTGTTCCCATAGTTTCTTGTTGGTGATTCCTTCCGCCATCTGATCTTCAGTATAGAACGAAGACAGTTGTTGATAAAGGTCTGCAACAGGCTGTTGGAAATATTCTTTGTGACACACTAGCCAAGTTTCTGATCCGTATAGAAGAACTGACTGACTTGACGTTTGTATTGAAAATCCGAATTTTGTTGTTGATGCTGAGTTGAGTGACGAAGATTTCCAGATTGGTTTCAAGTTGATGAATGTGTTTCTCGCCTTCCCGATTCTCGATTTGACATCCTCGTCCGTTCCTCCTGTAGTTGAGACAATGCTCCCTAGTGGTTAGGATTCCTGGCTTTCACCCAAGCGGCCCGGGTTGGATTCCCGGCGCGGGAGCGCTTGATCTCGCCTAGATTACTAGGTCACTAGTTTTCTAGCCGGTTCCAAGCCCGGATAAAGAGGGAGGGTTGGGGCGTGGTGCTAGCAACTCCACCCCCAAAACTTAACCAAATTGCCACATAAACTTCAACGCACAAATATATCAGACAAATTAGGGAAATAATAATACAGAATTCATGAATTTATAGACTCGATGGAAAACTAGCCAGGGTAGTAGAAGTGGTTGAACCTGTTTCTTCTGCACACGGAGTACTGGTTGTATTAGATGGATCGCAACAGGTTCTTCCGGTTGGAGTCTTCGGTACATGGATGCTTTTAGCAATTTATTTAGTACCCGATAGATGATGATGACGGAGAAGGATTCTTCATTGCTAGCTTTGTGGTCGGTTTGAACCAGGCTGTGATAGCGGAGTTTTATTGTGTTGCTGTCCGAATCATTTTCATAAAGAATGAAGCTGTCATCCATATACCGGCAGTAAAATGAGAATTCTTTCATAAGATTGTTCAAACGACTATTCTGTAGCTTGATTAGAAAGAAATCTGCCCAATTGGGGCCCAATAGGCAGCCTACTGCCACCCCGTCCTGTTGTCTGTAAAGGGTGTCATCAATGTACATTCGTTGTACGCCTTAAAAACCGTTCTTTTAGGATTTCTGTTGGAATGCCAGTATTTATCCACTTGTTGTACACTTGTTCACATGTGCAGTTAAACATTTCTACTAAAAGTACATCTGTGAATAAACATAATAAGGACACTCAGCTAAAAGGTCAGAGGTCTATGCTCAGAAGATGTATGTGGAGATGAACGTAGCATTGTACATGACATCTTAATTGAAAATAGCTATCCAGAAAGGTTCATCGTGCAACACATAACCAAGAAAGTAGAAAAGGACTTTTCTCTATCTGTAAATCAAGAGCCTTTATTTATACGGCTAAAGTTTGAGGGTGGTGCACAGAGGGAAATTATTATTATTGTATCCTTTAATTCCTAGAGGAACATAGGGCTTCAGCCGTGCGTCTCCATTGCGTTCGGTTCTCTGCTAGGGTCTTCACCTGGCTCCAAGTCTGCCCATACGTTTTCATCTCCTCTTCACATGACCTCCTCCAAGTCACCCTCACTCGACGCTTCCCTTTTGGTTTCCACTCGAGCAATGGCTTGTCTAGTGATGTCACTTGATGGTTTCCTCAGATTATGGCCAATCCATCTCCATTTCTTCCTGCCTGTTTGTTGCACAATCGGTTCCTGGTTGGTTTGCACCCAGAGATCCTTCTCTGTTGCTGATCTTTTCTGGCCATCTAATCTTCAGCAATATTGAGCGAAGACAACTGTTGATGAAGGTCTGTAGTTTTTTCGAGGTGCTCTTTATGACGCGCAGTGCAAATCTCTGATCCGTATAGTGAGCACCACTGACTTTTTTTTTTTATTTTTATTTTGATTACAGCTTGATGCCACATCGTATTTTCAGTACAAGTATGACATTTTCAGCATGGATATCGGTAGCCCAAATTCTGCAGGCCGACCATAGATATCAGGTGTGCGTCGGTAGGGGTTCGAACCCCGGACCATGTGCATGGTCAGCCAGAGTCCTAACCACTGTGCCACCGACGCACATTGGAGTTGAAAATCCGGATCTTATTTTTGATGCTGAGTGCTGTTGATCTCCTGCACACAGACTTGAGAGTAGGGAAAGCTTGTCTTGCTTTTCCAATTCTTGCTTTGATATCCTCATCAGTTCTGTGCGCCTGTAGTTGAAACGATGCTTCCCAGGTAGGTAATTTACAAGTAGCAAATTAATTCGAATTTTTTTATGATCCTCTAAAAATATATTTTAATTATAAGTGATGTGGGATGACTCTACAAATCTCGGCTTGAGTAAATTGTATGGGAAATATTTTGTACATTAAATGACTCTTAACCAATAGAATTGCCGGCTGATTTAAACGACAATGTATGCTACATATATATTTGAAGCCTTGAAAGTTGAATGATACATAAGCTTAGAGTTTAAATGCTAATTAAATCTTTTTGTACAGCACATCGACTCATAAAATGGTGATGCAGTTAACAGATAAACAATTTTTTCTCTTGGGGTATTTATGTGAACAGTGGATAAGCATCAATAAAATTCACATTTGCAAAATTTATAGGAATGACTCGGTCAGTATTTGCAATTCCATATCATTTTATTTAATAGATATATCACACACAGTGAAACAGTATTATTTACTGGATGAAAAACTTCAGAACACAATTAATCATTCTTCAAAATCATTTCAGCAAGGTGTAAACACACAACTTCGAAACCTCCGATTTATAGTTCGTTTTATTCCCTCATATTCGTCGTCGTAGGAGCAGTCGAATTTTCTACATGTCAGTCTGGACAGGCGTTGAATCATTCCTATTACACGTACTTTCAGTTGGTTCGATAAATAAAGCCTCCGCCATCAATCTCTCCCTCCACCCTGTTATATAGTAGACTTGATGACTGTCATGTGGTTCTATACTACTGTGTGGTTCTATGTAATTTTGATGTGGTGCCATAGCTGAACTATTCTTTAGATTTTTTTATCTTATTACGGTTAACTGATCTAGATTTTGCTCGGTTTTGTGCTCCGCTAGCCTTACTAATCCTTTTCGACTACTTTGATTGATATATGTATGTGACCTGACAATCATTGCAGAGTATTATATAAAGTAGAGATTATTTGTTTAATGGGCTTCAAAAGATCCTTAAACCGACATATAATTTGTTTCCAATTGACTTTGTGTACAATTATTCCTTTGGGTTACAACTGGAACAAAGAGATTCATAAATACAACTCTAATTTGTCTTTTTCTCTTCAGTCCTCTTCAACTGTCTCCACGATTGCGCACAGGCTCTTATCTCCTCCTCACACGATCTTCAACCATTTCTCACATTGACACTCAACTCATTGTTTCTCATTCGGGTTCCACTCGAGAGATGGTTTAGCGCGATGCAACCCAATGGTCTCTTCAGTCTATGTCCAATCCATATTCATTTTCATCGGCATATTTCTTGAAAAATGGGTTCTTGGATGGTTCGTCTCCAGAGATCCCCGTTTCTAATTGTTTCTGACCTGCTATCTGATCTTCAACAAGGAGCCAGCGACGGTAGCTGTTGATAAAACTCTTCAGTGGCCTGTTGGAAATGCTTTCGGTGACTAGTGCGGTTTGTTTCTGACCCATCTAGAAGAACTGAACAACTTAATATTAACGTCAAAAGTCCTAACTCTGTTACTCATGTTGCCTGCTGAAGATTTCCAAACTAACACAGAGTGACGAAGATCTGTCTTGCTTTTTCGATCCCGGTTTTGACATCGTCATACATGCTATCGCCTGTAATTGAAACGATGTTGCCTGGTCAGATATGTGAAAAGAATGTGGCCTCTTTGAAATTTATCCCTTTGATAATGATTAATGCTTCTTTTCGTTGGGAGGGGGTTGTTGGGTATCTTCATCCCCTCCGTCTCTGGAATGCGAGTTGATGTTCATAAAGAGTTCACTAAATCATAATCACTTTACGCCAGCTTTTTTTCCCATCTTCACAATACTTTCATTTTAAAAATCAGTTAGGCATTGTCAACCAAAATATGATTGCATGGAGGATTTCATCATGAGCTGACATCAGTCAGAGAACCACTGGAAAACCAGCTGGGAGTACTGGACAGCTGTTTTGTCCTAGTTTGGGACTCTTCAGCGGTACGCACCCACCGGGGTTTCGAACTAATTGGATTGGGTCCCAGTGGCTCAATGGTCTACGAACTCGCCTTGTTACCAGAAGTTCCTGGGTTCAAACCGT